TTGAAAGAAAATCATTACCAGAAATAGATTTTTTGAAGGAAAAATATTACCAGAAATAGATTTAAAAATATATATATATTACTAACAATAAAAATTTTGTCGGCATTAAATGACTCATTGAGGTTGATATGCCGTAAAACCAAACCAAACCAAACCAAACCTGAATAGTAAGATTTTCAGCACCCTTCTTGGTTCTAACGAAATTTTCTTGTTTCTAAATAGTTCTTTTTTTATTTAGTTCTTCCCAAGAAACGCAGTAAAGCCACTGAGGCACAAATGGTTTCTGGGCGTGGAACTTTTGCTCAGGAGTGAAAAAAGGAGAGTAATTAGGAAGAGTTGTAGATAGCATTTGACATTGCATTTAAAGTTTTGCAGATTAAATTTGGTTGGTAAGCGTGGAATTGGAAGGGAATTTCACAAGCGAGATGTGCGATTATTTACGGTTACATTTAACCAACTCACCTGTAAATTGGTGAGCCCTTGTCACCAGTCTAATACCTCGCATAAATTAAAAGAGCCTAGAAACCATAGCGAAGAGCTCATCCGAACTTGTACCATGAAAGTATCTATAGAAAAGGTAAAGTGAGGTTACTTGAGAGTGATTGGGAAATCATTGAAGTTGAGACGCCAGATTATGGCCAATAATATTGCTTATTCTTCTTTGGATTTTATCAAGGAGCTCTAAATAAATATCAGGTTCCCGGGACTATATGTGACAGCAATATTCTACGTATAGACGAATGGTAGACTTGTAGATATGAAAGATAGACTCTGGAGACAAAAATCGTTTTGTCTGACTCAGGGAACCAACTTCTTTAGTAGCTGAGATAGCAATGGATATAGTCTTTCCTCTTCATGGCAGTCGAAAATGTTAGTCTAAAAAGGTGATTCATTTTCATGGAGGTTAGCATCAGCCATACTGATAGAAGGTAGACAGGGTTCTATCAGACGATTAATATAGAACAATTTAGTTACGGGGAATAGTTTTCCTCTGTTCAAATGCAATTTATGATTTCTATATCACAGTTTTCTTGCCTCAGTTATGTTTGAATTTATGTCCTTGCTGAAATCTTACGTCTCCATCGATCGCAACCTTAGTGTTTTTATCTTATTGACAACTACCTTTCAGTCTGGCAAATGATGTTTAGTTTTTTTCTCCTCGATTTTCTTCTACTAGTACTTTGCCAGGTAGTTACTGTAGACATTTGTATACCTACCATCAACACGGCGTATCTTTTATTGTTATGATTGTTTACACCAAAATAAATCCTGGTAGGACTTCTAGTTCAATTAGGATATCAATGGGTATATTGAATAAATCCGGTGGGAAGATATCTCCTTGTCTTAGGCACCTCTATATATTTGTAATATCATCTCCATATGCAGGAAGTTTGTTTGTAATTTATTGACCCAGTTTATTCTAAAATCTTTCCCATGAAAATCTCTCTAGTGTATAAAGTAGATATTTGGGATCTACTCCATTTTTTTTAATCCACTTATTCTCTCAATGCAAGCACCAAGAGCCACTCAAGTAATACGGTTACTAAATGATTTTTTCTAAGAGCGTAGTGGAAGTATGAAATAAGCTCATATTAGGACGGTATGTAGGATATATATCAGTTGTTCCTAGACTTAATGATGTTAATATTTCTGTTGTCAAGAAAGAATTAATATTCCTATTTTATTATTTTTCACACTATACAACATGTAGAAAATTATATTTCTAGCGTTCATTTTTACCATTTTACAACCAATAGAAGATCCAAGGGAGAAATTTAATGAGGTTGCTCTGTGAGAGCAAAAGAAGGAGCTATGTGGAATAGATACCCGTTGATTCTAGACCTGAAAAGGTTAACCCCGTGATGATCGTCGAAACGTCCTTTCGCGAGTTTGTGTCACAGAATAACAATCCTAAGGAACAACCGTTTCCTTCTTTTAGATTGGTTGCTCATAAAAAAGAACAGGGCCCAATCTAACTTGCTGTCCAAAAGATACCTATTGAAAGGCGGATCTGCACCTTTTCCAAAGCCATTAGTTCAGAGTGAAGGAAACGAACCTACATGAATTCGATCCCTACTCGCCGATTTCAAATTCAGCACCGATAAACGTTACAGTATCCACGCATCCGTACTATGAATTTTTTTCTGTGAACTTTACAAAAGTTAATAATGGTTTACAGTAACAATGTTCGAAACATTCATATTACAGGATGAGGTGGCACAAACAATTTCTAAATTCTTCTAGTTGCTAACGACATTTTGTTTGTTGTTTATAGATACTTTGTTTCAATAAATTCATTTCGTTTTTTTTGTCTATTTTCCTATTGTCTTTTCCTTTATACATATTGTTTTTTCTACAGGGTAATTCTGATCATATATATATATATATATATATATATATATATATATATATATATATATATATATATATATATATGTACATATTGTGTAATTTTTAGGAAGCAATTTTTTCATTAATGCATGTTTCATTAAATAATATAGACAAGTTTTATCTATTTATTTTAAGTAAATTTCTTTCGTATTGTCTGATAAGCTTAATAACATTATCATTGAAAGACGAAAGGAAATCACTATAATGATACATGTTTAAATCCAATCTAAGCTTTCGGCTTACATAAGTCATTATCAAAGATGACAATTACATTTCAATATATCAAACAATACACGGACGAAACAATAATGATAGTGTGTTTTTGTTGCATTCAAAAATTCAGAGCAACGACCAACTCGTGTATACGAAAATCGCGTCACAGATCGTGACGTCACACATGACCACGCGAGAGTGAAAACGAGAAGTATTAAGTATTCGTCTTCATCATTCTAATTCATATTAAATTTTACTATAAAACTGAAAATTAAAAATTGCCAATTTTAAATATTAAATTTAAAGAAGAAACCGAGGAAAAATATATTTTATTTATTTTGTTTTAACTGAAAGGCCAAAAACTCAGAATAAACGTTCAAATCTAATGTTGATGTAAAACATCGTTACAACTTACATACATTTGACATGATGATATGGGCAAGGGAGGATGACATCTTGCAAAAGACAATACATACACAATCAGATTATGATACACAAACACGTAAACACATTTAGATATATAAACACACAAAAACATGAACGAAACAGAAAATAGATATCCACGACACTTAAAAAAAGACAACATATACATACAATTAAAGGCATATTTAAGCGAGCATGCATGCATACATTAATAAAGACACACACATATACACACACCAAGAAATATTCAAATTTGAAAGTGTTAGTAAACGAATTCAAACATACTATTAAAATATTACTTACATGGGCAATAATGTATAGAAAAAATGGTTGAATAGATAAAATTGAATATGGGTAGAATAGAAAAAAATATTCGTCAATGAAGAACGTAAAGAAAAAAGACACTAAAATATATAGAAATGGATAGAATAAATATATATATATATATATATATATATATATATATATATATATATACGTATACACATAAAAAAACACCGAATTCACATGTTCGGGCAAAATGTAACACTAAAAATAAAATAAAACCAGCTAATATATAAAAAGAAAACACATAAACACAGAACTATATATAAATATCTCATATATATATGTATACGCATGAGTACACATACGCGATTACAAACATATAACAATATATATAAAAAGTACATATATATATATATATATATATATATATATATATATATTGAACAATGAAAAATATTAAAAAATTAAAATCTTCATTCACACTGGGTTGTAGATTAATATTCTTACGTTTTTATTATTATTATCATTTCATTTAGATTCCTCGACTAGTTTCGGCCAACATGGCCATCATCAGGAGAAGAACTATTTCTGTTTGCTGGTAGCACTAATCTACAGAAATGAATATCTTGATGGAGAAAATGAACTTTTGTCTGTAGTTTTCATTTGTTTTTTTTATTTTTATTTTTTTAACACGAATCTTTTAACATTCCTTGTGTTGGTCAAACAGTCTCTTTTAAGTTGTTATTTGAGATAAGAGCTGGATGGATCCCTGCTGCTCTGAATTCCCCTGGTCAGTTTGACAGTTTTATTGGTTCTTGGAGAGGGGATGTGTCTCTGTTAAGTGTGTGTGTGTGTGTGTGTGTGTGTTATTTGGTTCTTAGGGAGTGAGTAAGTATATGTGTAAGCGTGTATATTGCTGTGGGTGTGTGTTATCATTTGGCTCACTAGGGAGTGAGTGAGTATGATGTGTGTAAGCGTATATGTTCGTGTGGGTGTATTTGGAATCATATTTTTAAATAAATAGTTTATATATATATATATATATATATATATATATATATAATTCGAACGTGGCCTGGATTGTGTGCAGTAATCTCAGTCGAAGATTGAGCACAAGAATCTTGAGTGAGAGTAAAACCGCTCATTAGGTTTCTAGTAAATGCAGACTCTGTTTTGTGAAAACGTTACTACATATCTACATATTTATTTTTATTTGAAGCAAATTTGTGGCATTTCTCGATATTCAAAAATCTAGTCACCCCAGCCCCAGCAGTGGTAGCTGTTTCTTTCGATCTTAAAAGCGGGCTTTATTTTTGTGACTTTGTTCCAAGTATTTTCTGACTTTGTTATTGACCTCGAAGAAGTAAACAAAGAGAAAATAAAAAAGAAAAGCATAAAAAGCTTTGACTTAAAAAAAAAATGACAAACAATTACTGTTTAGTTGTTAATTTAAAATCGTATCTTGCTGGATAGCAGACACTGAAATTCTAAACACCTGCAATTGGCATCTTTCGTTTTCTGTTCTGTAATGAAATTTTCGAAAGTAAATTGTTTTTCGTTTATTAGGTAAGGCATTTTTTTTTCTTTTCTGGAGATGGAAAAAAGGTGAAAAAAGATTGTCAAACGGCGGGACAGATAATAGAGCAAGACAATATGCTGACGGAGAAGCGAAAAATAAAACAAAAAGTGTATATGCAGATAGATACTTAGAAGGAGAAAAGATGCCGGAGAAGATGGAAAACGGAAAAAAAAAGAACAAGCAGGAATAGAAGAGGGTGGTCTGTATGTAAGAGAGAGAGAGAGAGAGAGAGAGAGAGAGAGAGAGAGAGATGTGAGAGAAAGATGTGGGGGGGTGTAAACGATGAAACGTTAAAAGGAAAGAAAATCAAAAAGAATAATAAAATGAGGACAGGACAGAAAGAAGAGAAAAAGAATAACTGCTAAAGAAAGAAATTTTTCAATTGAGGATGAAAAACGCATGTACAATGAATAAAAGAAGCAAAAGAAAATCAGTGTGGGGGAAGGGAAATAGTAATAATAATAATAATAATAATAATAATAATAATAATAAAAAGAAGAAGATGATGATGATGAAGATGATGATGGTGATGATGATAAATAAAAATACGAATAATAAGAAGAAAAAATGATGAAGGAGAAAACGAAGAAAATGATGAAGAAGAAAAAGAAATGATGATGAAGAAGAAGTAACGGAAGAAGAAAAAATAATATAAGGAAGAAAAAGAAGAAGAAGAAGAAAATGACGACAAAGAAGAAGAAGAAGAAGAAGAGGAAAAGAAGAAAATGATGAATAAGAAAACGAAGGAAATGTCGAAGAAGAAAAAGAAGATGAAGAAGAAGATAAGGAATAAGGATAAGAAGAGGACAAAGAAAAGAAGAATAAAATGACAAAGAAGAAAATGACGAAGAAGAAAAGATGAAGAAGAAGAAAATGAAGAAGAAAAAATTATATAAGGATGAAGAAGAAGAAAAAGCAGAAGAAGAAGAAGAAGAAGAAGAAGAAGAAAATGACAAAAAAAGAAGAAGAAAAAGAAGAAGAAAATGACGAAAAAGAAGAAGAAGAAGAAGAAAATGAAGAAAAAAGAAGAAAAAGAAGAAGAAAATGATGAAAAAAGAAGAAGAAAAAGAAGAAGAATAAAATGACGTAAAAGAAGAAGAAGAAGAAGAAAATGACGAAAAAAAGAAGAAGAAAAAGAAGAAGAATAAAATGACGTAAAAGAAGAAGAAGAAAATGACGAAAAAAAGAAGAAGAAAAAGAAGAAGAAGAAAATGACGAAAAAGAAGAAGAAAATGACGAAAAAAGAAGAAGAAAAAGAAGAAGAAGAAAATGACGAAAAAGAAGAAGAAGAAGAAAATGACGAAAAAAAGAAGAAAAAGAAGAATAAAATGACGTAAAAGAAGAAGAAGAAGAAAATGACGAAAAAAAGAAGAAGAAAAAGAAGAAGAAGAAAATGACGAAAAAGAAGAAGAAGAAAATGACGAAAAAAGAAGAAGAAAAAGAAGAAGAAGAAAATGACGAAAAAAAGAAGAAGAAAAAGAAGAAGAATAAAATGACGTAAAAGAAGAAGAAGAAGAAGAAAATGACGAAAAAAAAGAAGAAGAAAAAGAAGAAGAAGAAAATGACGAAAAAGAAGAAGAAGAAGAAAATGACGAAAAAAGAAGAAGAAAAAGAAGAAGAAAATGACGAAAAAGAAGATGTGAACGAAGGAGAAGAAGAAGATAGAGATGAAAAAGAAGATGAAGATGAAGAAGAACGATAGAAGGAAGATAGAAACAAGAAAAAGAAAAGAAGAAAGCAAAGAACTAGATAAAGAATGAGGAGAAGAAGCAAGAGAAAAGAAAGAGAAAAAAAAATCAATATCCAAATATCGTCAGAAGAAGACAAAAAGAAGATAAGAAATAAAAAAAAAAGAATAAGAAATAAAAGGTAAAAAATTACGAGGAGATAGAAACGAAGATTTAAAATAAGCAGATCGAATCATACTAACATTCCTTGCAAGCAGTGACGCCCTGAAAATAATACATCCTCTTTAATTCCACAGAAGCGACAACAGATAAAGGGAGCGCCAAGTAGCGCCAATGGATAAAAAAAAAATGTGTTTCGTTGATTGACAGCTGTGCCTTGAATGCACATCACCGTTGACAATGTTGAAAGTCATTACCCACCAATTGACTGTGCTCATATCCGTTGTTTGGTCTATGTAATCATTCTTAACCGTTGATGGATGCGATTTTTCTGATATGGTGGTATTAGGTAACACGTTTCTAATTCGAACGTACTTTCAATAAATTGATTAATTCGTTTATCACGGATCATCAATCTTTTGCAGGTTATAGAGGCCAAAACGTTGTGAATATAGCAATGAAGATGAGGATAACAGCCCGAATAATGTAAATAATGCAAGTAATCTTAATACCTCATCTCAGAGATATGGAGGCCGAAACGTTGTGAATATGGCAATGAAGATGAGGATAACAGTCCGAATAATGTAAATAATGCAAGTAATTTATAATACCTTATCTCAGCGATCCAATCACCTAAATAAGGCCGGAGAGGACAACGGCGGAAACGATGTGAATATGGTAATGTAGATGAGGATAACAGTCCGAATAATGTAAATAATGCAAGTAATTATAATACCTCATCCCAGAGATTCAATCACCTGAAGAAGGCCGGAGCGTACAACGGAGAAACGTTGTGAATATCGCAATGAAGATGAGGATAACAATCCGAATAATGTAAATAATGCAAGTAATAATAATACCTCATCTCAGAGATTCAATCACCTGAAGAAGGAAGGAGTGTACAACGGAGAAACGTTGTGAATATGGCAATGAAGATGAGGATAACAGTCCGTATAATGTAAATAATGTAAGTAATCATAATACTTCATCTCAGAGATCCAATCACCTGAAGAAGGCTGGAGCGTACAATGGCCGATATGTTGTGATTATGACATTGAAGATGAGGATAACAATCCGAATAAAGTAAATAATGCAAGTAATAATAATACCTCATCTCAGAGATTCAATTACCTGAAGAAGGCCGGAGTGTACAACGGAGAAACGTTGTAAATATGGCAAGGAAGATGAGGATAACAGTCCGAATAATGTAAATAATGCAAGTAATAATAATACCTCATCTCAGAGATCCAATCACCTGAAGAAGACCGGAGCGTACAACGGCTGAAACGTTGTGAATATGGCAGTGAAGATGAGGATAACAGTCCGAATAATGTAAATAATATAAGTAATCATCAGAGATATAGGCAGATATTGAACGTGTGCTTCTTTGACGAAAAACTAACTTCTGGCATGTTTCATTTCAATTCGTTTAAAGCGTTTTTCTGTCATTCTTGCCTTTGCTAAATATATATTTTCTGATTTATTCTCACTCATTTCCGCTGGCTACAAGTCTAATACACGAAGGTTTTGGTATTCCGAAGGGTTCCATTATCTTAGGAAGAATACGATCTTTCTTGTTTATTTCATTAAAAAGATTATGGCTGTTCGTGCCAACAATATGGACGAATTACAAAATCTATATTGTGCACGGAGACTCTTAGCATTGTTTAACGGACAATTCTGCCTGTCTAGTTTTGGCCAGCATCTCGCTGGCCATTGTCCTGTAATATTAGAGTCAGATCCGGTCACAAAAAATAAGAATTGAGAATAAAACTGTATCAGAGTAAAAAAAGGACATGTTTATTTTTAGAATATACAGGTGAAAATATAGTTATAAAGTTAATGATGTCCCGGAATAGCAGTTTTAGTACATGCAAATATATATATATATATATATATATATATATATATATATATATATATACGTCACACATTATGAAAAGTCTGACAATTATTTTAAAAATAAATAATACGTACAAAAATAAATAATACGTATAAAAGATCGTATAAACATAAAAAATGTCTTTATATATATATATATATATATATATATATATATAAAAAAAGAACAGTAAGATATATAATCCGGTGTTCTTATAGATATTTTTATTTTTACAAAATAGTGCTAAATGTAAATTTACAGAGCATTAATATTATAAATTAATTGATTTAAAATATGGTTTTTTTCGCTACACAGTTCTAACTATGTTTCAAAAATGGAAGTTAAAAGCTTCGCTTGAGGATAAAATGGAACTAAATGTTTTTAATTTAATTACAAAGTTAAATTCGGGGCTTTTAGCTACCATTTTTAAAACATGGTTAGAAATGTGTGGCAAAAAAACATATTCAAATCAATTAATTTATATATATATATATATATATATATATATATATATATATATATATATATATATATATTATAAATTAACTGATTTAAAAATATGGTTTCTTCGCTACACAGGAGTTACCAAGTTTTCAAAAACCGAAGTTAAAAACTTCAAATTTAATTATACAATTAAATTAAAAGCATTAGTTCTGTTTCATCTTCAAGCTAATTTTGGAATAACTTTTTTTAAAATTTGCTGAGTTTTAAACGCACATACAATTCATTATTTTTTGTTTCCAAGTATACAGAGAAATCTAATCATGAATTCGCTCGAAGAAATAACAGAACTGATGCTTTTAATTTAATTATATAATTACATCTGAAGTTTTTAGCTTCGGTTTTTGAAACACGGTAATTCCTGTGTAGCGAATAAACCATATTTTAAATCAGTCAATTTATAATATTTAGGCTCTGTAAATTTACATTGAGCACTGTTTCGTAAAAATAAAAATATCAGTAAGAACACCGGATTATATATCTTATGTTCTTTTCTTTTTTATATATATATATATATATATATATATATATATGAGAGAGAGAGAGAGAGAGAGAGAGAGAGAGAGACAGACAGAGACAGAGATAGAGACAGAGACAGAGAGAGAAAAAAAAAGACACAAATGGATGGCTACTCGTATCCGAGTATGCCTTTTTTGGGGCTATCCAATCCCTGTTGCAGACAACTGTCCAGGCACATTTGTGTTTTTCAATTCCAACAGAGCCCACCTGTAGTTTATACTAAAACTATGCTTCTATGTAAAATTATGTTTCTGGCGTATTATCCTGTCTGGTCATTTTCTGTAACCACCTTTTTTTTTTGTTAACAATAGATTTCTATATTTTTATCCATTTTTTGTTCCTTCGCTTTTTTCTTTTCATTTCATTTTATGTAAAAATCATTTATTATTATTATTATTATATATTCCATTTTTTCCTCCTCATTTTTTTTCAACGTATCATATTCTAACAACAGCCCATCATTCTACACCTGACAACTTGCTCCGACAATTTTGGCTACAACGTGCTACACGCGAGACATCTTTCCCTCTCTCCAAAGTATAACTCTCTCTAACTATGTTTATAATCTCACCCCCCTGCCCACGAAAAACACTAGTAATAATAGACCTGCCTAGCGCTTTTGCAGAGATCAAAATTTTAAACTTAAGTTTATTTTCATAAAAAGTTTCGCAGATCGAGAATTCAGAGATTGTTTTTTTTTTGCTAAAAATACGATTTCCACCGGAAAATACACCATCTATAAAAACATCTGTCGGTGAGTAATTCCTATTTCTGTGATTTTTCCTCGGTCCATTGATGAAGGACACCGGTGTGTCCGAAGATTCCGAACTTAAAACCATTCTCTCCGTTTTTCATTTCCGTCATATGGTTAATAATTAATATTCAATAAATGTTTATCGTACTGATTATATTGGTACCCTTTCGTTTGTTCTTGTTTTATTAACTAACCTATCTATTTTACATGTTATGAGAAGCACACGTGAACGCTTTTTACCTATCATGTATTTTTTATTTATATATATGATGATAGACACTGCCGTCGTTTGCGACGTATGGTTGTCTTTCAGTTCAGTTTTCATATTTATGCAAGGGATTTACAAACAAATGCACGCGAAGGACATACTGAAGGGTTGGCCATCGTATGGGCTGATGTAATAGCCCGAGATTTAGTGTCAATTCTTAATTCTCTCAGATGATTGAGACGATTCTTTTCAAAGTTAGCTATACCTCGGTAGCAGGTTTTTCTCCAGCTTGCTCGGTTTTCAAAAGCAAGTTCGAACTCCTCACTCATTTTTCCAATCATGTATTTTTCTAATATATATATATATATATATATATATATATATATATATATATATATATATATATAAAGTGAACATTGAATTCAACACTCAGAGGCGACAGGCTGTTTTATGATGGACGCAATCGTCAGGACGCCTGAAGATTGCGTCTAGCATCAAACAGCCTGTCATCTCTGAGATTGACTTCAATATTACTTTATATTTATATTTACATACGCTCTATCTCTGATATTGAGCACTTTATCCCATAGCACACCTTAAAACTATATATATATATATATATATATATATATATATATATATATATATATATATATATACACTGTTGTAAAAGCTTCATGAATACAAGTTGTACTGCAAATCACAACGAAGAAATGACATATATTCTTGATTTCTGTTACTCGGAAAGTAGGCGTGGTTCTATAAATAATAAAAAAAATATCTACATAATTTCTTGAATATTCGCTTTCGGCTATTCGTTTATTCATATTGGTAATTCTCAGATTACAATACATTAATTGTTTCAGACAAAAATATAATTATATATTTTTTAGTGCAAGAACTTTATTGCCTTTGTCTATTCTGACGCCATAACGAATGGGGCAGAGTGTATATGAAGTTCTCTCAAGGCGAAATGTACTAATCAGTTGTTAATTATAGCGACAACACTAATTAGATATATGTGCTCAATATAT